TCCCTTGTACGGCAAAGAGCGAAAAAGCCTTTGAGATCCCTGCGTTTGGACCCGCTGGAGACAAGGGGAGGTGGCGGTGGGAAAGCTCGGCAGATGGGTTTGGGGATCTCCTCAGAAGCGTGGTCCTCCCGCGCTGTCACCTCGGGTCTCTTTCCCGAAGGGCCTGGGACTGCTGAAGAGATTCAGGAGCAGCTTCTGTCGTTCCGTATGTTGGGATGATAACGGAAAACGAAGGCTTTTAGTTCCCTAAAATACAGATAGTGAGTGCCAGGCCTTGCCTAATGTGTTTTTCCTGGCATGTGAGATAACGCTAAAGTAAATTACTCCTGTCTGTCTCTAATAGTTTGATTTTTGTTGTTTAGCTGGCAAAGAAATACCACCCTGATACAAACAAGGATGACCCTAAAGCTAAAGAGAAGTTCTCTCAGCTGGCAGAAGCCTACGAGGTAATATGCAGGATTTTATCCTCATGAAAAGGAGGAAAGATTGGAGGGTAGATGCGGCGAAACACCACTTCTTCTTGGGTGCCTTTCCTGTAAAACCATGGCTGTTTTTTCATTTCCCGTACTTCAGGCGCGAGTGCCTCTGTCCCAGCGCTGTCTCCAGGAAATTACTCAGCCCAAGTATCTGATTTAGCTGGATACGTTTTGGGCCGTTTGAATTTGTGCTCTTTCTCGAGCACAGTGAGCGACTGGCAGGGATGCCGCGGTCGCCGCGGTGGAATTATTGGTCAGCTTAAGCAAACCAACCAACCAACCTGTCGGCAGTTCCTAGCTGTTTGAGACGGAGGCACCTTCCACTGTGCTGCACCCCAGCCCCGTTTCTTCCTGCTCTTCGGCTTGTTCAGAAATCTTCCCCTGCTGGTTTTTGCGCTCGGGGGGTTTCAAATTTACCCCGGCACTCTTACCACTTAATACACGCGATATAGTAATGATCGGCTACGGAACGCACGTTAGCCTTGCTTATTACAAATTGGTAAGATCTTGTCATTTTCCTGACGACGAGCTGCGAGATGCCGGGGAAGAAGGAGCTTTTTGGTAATTCGCGTGCTGCCGAGAGCTGGGATGGCCCTCCTGACGACGGGGAGGTCTGAGAACGTGGGCTTGCGGCGGTAACGCCAGTAGCCTTGAATTCTCCCGAGAGGCGCCACTCTGCAGGTAGAGGCTGTCCAGTCGCTCGGGATCTGGACAGTGTCCTGACGGCCTCGTTCTTTTGCCCCAAAGGTGTTAAGTGATGAAGTGAAGCGGAAACAATACGATGCGTACGGCACGGCTAGTTTTGATCCTGGCGCAGCAGGTGCCGGCGCTGGGCGGCAGTACTGGAGCAGCGGTCCGTCGATTGATCCGGAAGAGCTTTTCAGAAAAATCTTCGGAGAGTTTTCGGGATCCCCTTTCGGCGATTTTCAGAACGTCTTTGACCAGCCACAGGAGGTATGAAACGTGTTTATTTTCTGAGTAGTGAAATGAAACTGAGAAATGAAAAAACACAAAAGCTGGAGACGGACGCTAGCCTGTCACAGATTGCTCCGGGAGCGAGCTTTAGCACAGGATTTCCTTCTGGGAATGTCAGCACACGAGCGTCCCGTTGTAGGGGTGGGAGAGTCACCTATTTTTGGTAAGCCGTGTGGGTGCGTTCTCCACATCACCAGATAGAGTGTTTTTTTTTTTTCCTGGGCTTCAGCTACTTCATTTGGTGTTTACTGACACCGGTTGGTGCTGCCAGACAATTCCATCATTGTAGAGGCGTCTTTGCTGCTGTACGTTGATTTATGTATGTCTGCTTTGATCTGTAATGCTAAAAACCACAAAATACCTTTAAACTATAAAACAAGCCTTCCAGCGTTAGGTTTGACTGCTTAATTGTCTTAATTTTGCAACTTAATTGGCTTAACTTTGCAGTGGAGCCCATAATAAAGCAAGACCTATTTCTTGTTCTTTGTACCGCAGCTAAATGCTCTTTTAAGTCTTGACAGTGTTGGTTCACGTGCTGCCTTCAGAAACGCGTGCTATTTGGTACTTCTGGCTTCACTAAAAACGGCCGTTCTACTATAAACAGAATTTCCTGTTTTGTGCGGTCATCCTTGCTGACGTAAAGAGTTTATCGAGGAAGAACAGATACTTTCACTGGGATTGAAAGCCTTCTCCCTCACCTGTTGCTGCATTCCCATTAAAGACAGCCTTTAGAAGTACTGAGAGTTTTCCTCAGAAAAAGGAAACGCTTTTTCCTCAGAAAAAGTCAAGAAAAATGCTTGACTTCTATTTTTACTTCCTTCTTTTCTGTTTTTATACCTCGTTTCTGCTACACAAGTGCTCATCAGACTGGTGTAATCGTCATCCCTGTAATGTCTGCTGTCCTTTTGTACCCCTTTTTATTTCTGTGAGACACATTATCGCTTCCTCAGGTGAGGCAGAACCCTTCTGAATCTGTTTCTTCCCCCCCCATTACCTGGATGTATTTTAAGCATTGTTTGCTATTTGGCCTAAACCAATTTCAGCCTGCTTAAGACCCCATCGCGTATCAGTTGTCGATTGATGTCCATGTTTCCTGTACAGTATATCATGGAACTGACATTCACCCAAGCGGCAAAAGGTGTTAACAAGGAGATTGTGGTGAACATCAACGACTCCTGTGAGCGATGCAATGGGAAAGGACACGAACCTGGTACCAAAGCCCAGCACTGTCACTACTGCAGCGGCACGGGCATGGTAAGTGCTTTTTAAGACACAGGTTCTGCTGCGCTTTTCCTTGTTGGGGCAAGTCAGCGAAAAATTCTCACTACAGTCATCAGCTTATCTTGGGTGAAGCCGAGTTAATGCGGACTTGATGATAACAGGCACTGGGAAGATTTTCTTTGTATTAAAGCAGTGCTCTGCCCAGCTGAAAGCACTAGCCTTCAGGGCTAGATCATCTGGTATCGTACACCCAGCAAACCGTATTTATATAATGTAACCGTTCTGAAATTACTTGGGCATTAATTGGGATACTTTGAATTGAGGGGCGGAGGGAGGAGGAAGGTGACGATAGCCTAAGGGTAATCATGAAGTGAGAAGATGCACGCTGCTTACAGTAAGTAAAGAAATGAACACCTCTGCTATGAGGACAGGCTGAGAGAGTTGGGGTTGTTCAGCCTGGAGAAGAGAAGGCTCTGGGGACACCTTACTGCGGCCTGTCAGTACTTAAAGGGGGCTGATAAGAAAGATGGGGAAAGACTTTTTAGAGGGCCCGTAGCAATAGGACAAAGGCTAATGATTTTAAACTGAAAGAGGGGAGATTCAGACTAGATATAAGGAAGAAATGTTTTACGCTGAGGGTGGTGAAGCACTGGCCCAGGTTGCCCAGAGAGGTGGTGGATGCCCCATCCCTGGAAACATTCCAGGTCAGGTTGGACGGGGCTCTGAGCAACCTGATCTAGTTGAAGATGTCCCTGCCCACGGCAGGGGGGTTGGACTAGGTGGCCTTCAGAGGTCCCTTCCAACCCAAACCATTCTGTGATGGAGCTTCAGGCTTTCAATTTCCACACATCAAAATGGGTACTGGCAATCAGTCTGTGACCAGAGGACCTTTCTGCGCAGAACAGTTGTAGCTGGTCAGAGGAGACTGCAAGCTCTTCCCATCATTTCCTCATGTGCTTCAATCTGATGGGTGGCTTTCACAGTTCAGTCCATAGCTTGGTCTCCATAATGTTTTCCTGGACACTGGCAATAATTCATGCAAGTGGATTGTCCTTGGATTCCTCAAAATACAGATGTTTGTAGTTCCTTGTGAAATAGCACTGTAAGGAGCTTTGTTCCTGCTTGTGCATTAAAGCCTAGAGGTGGAAAGCGTCGTGCTTCCCTTCCCCTCGCCGTGAGACGCCTGCTCATGGTGATGGTTGTCAGTGGAAATCGGAATGCGATGGCAGTTGAATCTGATCCAGCTTCTCACAAGCAGCACCCTCTTTGGATTTCTGAGCCAGCTCCACCCCTTGCTAAAGGGTATCGCTGTCCTGTCAGGTTGCACGTGCAATTAGCAGGACTCAGATGTGCTGGGCCAGTCACTGGCAGTGTTTCGTGGAAGTGAAAAGTACCGTCTCGGTACCAAATATTTGCACCATCTGTGTTTTCTTCACTAGGAGACAATAAATACCGGCCCTTTTGTAATGCGATCTACATGCCGACGATGCGGCGGTCGGGGTTCCATCATAACAACACCGTGCGTAGTATGTCGAGGAACGGGGCAAACCAAACAAAAGAAGAGAGTGATGGTTCCTGTGCCAGCTGGTTAGTGGTGTGCTTGTGTGCTGCTCTCTGTTAAATGACTATAGTTCTTTGCTCCCACTCGGCCAACAGCAAGGCACTTGCCTCCAAAGCGTGGCTGGTCCCTGCCAGGTACGAATGTGAGAGCAACGTAAGTTGTTTTGCTGCAGAGAAGTTATCTTAAGAGCAAAGCAGGTTGATAGCTTGGCAATTGAAAGGGTTAGTAATGAGATGAACTTTCTGGCCACGGCTATAAGTGTTTGCTTTGCCCTTCCTGAGCTGAGGTTTTGGTTCTTGCGTGGATCCTTCTAGGCATCTTTTTGAAGAGTGAAACTCAAAAGATTTTGTTGCCTTGGGTCTTTCGTTTGTCCTTGATGAAGCTTGGGGGGAGGTGGGAATCTTGAAAGCTCGGCTCAGAAAGGAGCGCTGGTGGCCGTCCTCACCAAAGAGGGTAAAATGGCTGGTGGGGCTGAAGGCTTGCTTCTGTGAGACCGCCCTGGGTGAGCACCCTGTAATTTTCCTGCAGCTTGCGGAGGCTGCCCCGCGTTCCTTAGTCGGATGCACTTCCCTAAAGAATTCTGTAAGGGATTGAAGTAACGAGCCTGTTTGGCGTGTAGCGATCACCTCGGAGGTATAAATGTGTGCTGACACCTCCCTCCTTTGGCCACGGCTCCTGTGGAGAGTGTTAACTGCGCTGCCCGCTGGTAGGTCTTGTGCCTCGTGCTCCTGGATGTGGAGGTGCTGCTGTGGTGGCAGGCTTTTGGGGATGGCAAGAGATCTGAAGAGAAAAGCTGTAGGTATCCAAGTAACACGTGGATTATAAGGTGACATTCCCTCTTTTTTTCTGATTGCAGGCGTTGAGGATGGGCAGACAGTTCGGATGCCTGTGGGGAAGAAAGAAATTTTCATTACGTTCAGGGTACGTATCGTTACATTGTAGGCTGTTTCCATCACTTAAGTTGGTTGCTTGTTCCCTTCGCAACTGCCTGGGGAGTCTGACTGAACGGGGGACGGAGGAGGAAGAGCGAGTGATCCTTTGGAACAGCTGAGGTAACATGATCCACGTGAACTTTCTGAGATAGCAGAAGATCTGCATTGTAACAAGTGGTGTAACGTTAAGTCTGCTCATGAAGAATCGCGCTGCTTGTTCCAGGACCGAGGCCCTTACGGTTGCGTGCATCAAAATTCAGAGTAGGTTCTTGATGCCTTGAGTCTTTGAGTTGGAAATGTGAAGGAGCTGTCTGCTTGCAGGGGTGGGAGCGCCGAGGAGGGCTGCGGGAATGCCCGTGAGAGGCTGGCTGGTCAAGTCTCTTTGCAGATACACGTTAAGTGCTGCTTTGCACATGTTTTGTAGCTGGGGCCCTCTTCTCCTGTAGGTATCCTGTCATACGCGTCTCTGTCAAGGAGGAAACTTTTTTCAGCACCTTTTTTGTGGTGCGGGAGGATTTAATTCTCTTCCAGGCTGTGAGGCCACTGCTAAGGTGCTTGCCTCCCTCTTCTCTTCTGGCTTTCCCCGGTTCAGGGTGCTGGACAAGGCAGTGCCTTCTCTGTCTCCACAGAATCACACTGACACTGATAAATTAACAACAGGATTAGGGGAGGGAGTTGCTGAGATAGGAAGCAGGCATCCTCCTAAGCCTCTGGCTAATTACAGATATGTCAAGATCTGTGTTTTTCTAAAGGGCTGAACTTTAACTTGGACTTCTTACCTGTGCAGTTTGTGGATGATAAAGGGTCTGACTACAGCATTCTGTCAGGTTTTATTATGAGAACTTTCAAAGCCATTTACCGTGAGAACTTCATGGTGGTGTGCTCACTTCTGTTTGGAACTGCCTGCCTTTCAGGTTCAGAAAAGTTCTGTGTTCAGAAGAAATGGAGCAGATATCCATTCGGACCTCCTTATTTCAATAGCACAGGCTGTTCTGGGAGGCACAGCCAGATGTCAAGGCTTGTACGAGACAATCAATATCACGGTAAGTACCATTACGTGGAAGAGCTTGGGCATAAATCGATGTGGGACAGCAGGGACTTCTCCTTTGCTGCTAAGATGGTGCAAATCTCCTAAGTCTGCCAGTATCGAGTTTCAGACTTCTTTAGGGTTGAGCGTCGGGTAGTTTGTGACCTGCTTGGTCACACCTCCTTTCCTATCGCTGTGTAGGGACAGGGAAAGGGCGGGCCGGGCGGATCGCAGGACGAACCCCATGCCAGGTCTACAGACTGTGCGAGGTTCTTTACTCGTTCCTTCAGAAGCTTTCCCGTCACTACTGACTTAGCTGCTGAATGTGTCCAGATGCATGAACGTACCAGATCTCTCCCATCCTACTTTGAAGCTCGCTGGAGCAGTAGTTAATTATTGTAGACATGTAATGTAACTACTATATAAATGGTTAAACTAGAGTAATAAACGTGACCCCTCTGTGTTCATAGATACCCCCTGGTATTCAGCCAGACCAGAGAATTCGAATGAGCGGGAAAGGCATTCCCAAGGTTAACAGCTACGGCTACGGAGACCACTACATTCACATAAAGATAAAAGTTCCTCAGTAAGTAGAGCTAATGCAGGTTTTTGTGAAATCTTGAACTTTTCGCAAAAAACGTTGTTCAGAAAGATGTTGTGAAAATTCCTTACTGCTTTATCGAGATCGTTAATTTCTCACTCTGCTTTTAATTCTGATGTGAGGTAGACTTTTTTTTTTTTAAATAATACCATTTGGCAACCCAGCTCTAAAAATCCTAAACCCTGGAAATACATAAGTAGTTCTTCACCTGCGTGTTTGCCTGGCTGTCTGCGATTCTGTCTGGAGCCCGGTTACGTAAATTCAGTGTTCTGGCTTATAACGCGTCTGTGCTCTCACACCTACAGCTTCAAGGAACTGAAGTCCTTGGCAGTTGCTTTTCAGGCTGCTTGGCCGCCCTCTGCTCCGGTGGTGAAGGAAACTTTTTAGCTCGTATTGCTGCATTTGGCAAGGGAGGTAATTTCCTGAGGTCTTCCCACCAGATGTGTGTCCTGTTGCAGCTCCACACGGTTCTTAGCACTTACTTTGTTTTTTTTTCACTGCAGTTTGGTGAAATGCAGTGGGTCATCTCTCTTCTCTTCCACCGAGACTTATTCTTTATAGATTGCTCATTTTAAGAGCACCGTTAGGGATTAGCAGCGTCTGCCAGGGGTACTTCCAGTAGCTGCCTCTCGTGCGTGCTGCTGGAGAAGGTTAAAGAGGTCTGTTGATACATCTGTCCCTGAAGGCAGCTGGAACCGACACCTCTGTCTTCAACCTGCAGGAGGCTGACGGATCGCCAGAGAGCCTTAATGATGAGCTACGCCGAGGACGAGGCGGATGTGGACGGCACGGTGAACGGAGTCACAAATACGGCATCAGGTGAGCGGTGGGAAGTAGCGCTTCTTCCTCGTGGAGTTGGCGTGGGAGTGCAGAGCGCTTCCTGAGGGCTCCTGGGGAGGAAGGTGAGCCAAGGTCACCTTGAGACAGCGTGTCGGCACAACCTGCCAAGCATGTTATGTTGGAAATAGTTTTAGTATGATGTTAATAGGCTGCAGCACAAAGCAAGGAGGTAGCCTCTTCCCAGAAAGCTTTACTTGAATACTTACTGGGCAAATCTGTGCATGAATAGAGCGCGGGTACTGAGATACTCCGGGGTCCTGACAAGTTGTGGTGAGTCTCGCTGTGGTGATGAAAGCCTTCCGCTCCCTGCTTCTGCCCCTGTGCCAGAAGTAACTTGTCCTAGTAGCAGAGGTACAAAAAGAGAATGTGCTTCAGGCCAATTTGCTGTGCGAGCTAATCTGTTGTGCTTCTGACTGCAGTGGGGACGTTTCTCCTTGAAAGCTGAAGGGGAGTACTGCTGTCAAGGCTGCTCTAAGCCACGCTCTCTGCACACGGGGGAATCTTCGGTAGAAATGTTCACTGGTGCTGAGTGTTGGCTCCAGCCAGTGGACAGCGTCCGGCGCGATGGAGGGAGTGAAGTCAGCTGGGAGCTTTGTAAAGCTGCTCTTTCAGCTCCAGATCAAAAATTTTGATTGATCAATTACGTGTTTTAAGTTTCAGGGGTGAGGTACCTGGCATCAGTAGCAGCCAAAGGCAAAACGTACGGTAGAACAGTAAGGCAAGAGCTTTGTCTTTTGCTACTGGAAAACAATTTTTTCTTTGCTCGTATTGGAACAATGAACTACTTAAAGCTGGTTGGATTTCTTTTTATGCTTGAAACCAAAAAGGGCATCTATGACTGCGTACAGCTAGGCAAAGGTGAGAGTCTTTCAAAGCTGCTAAACGATCCCAGGAACTCAGGTCCTCTCTACGACACATGCCAAAGCCTGAGGAATACAGTCTGAAGTTCAGGATATTGGAAGGCAGTATCTGCCGAATACTTCCCAATGTTATGTTTCATAGTGCTTCCATACCACAGAAGTTATGTCTTTTCCGCTGAGGGTAAGCACTAAAGGTCAGCCCTGGGGGGAAGGGGAGAGATCTCTAAGCACAAAACTTTCATTCCAGCTTTTTAAAGACGTTTATGTGCCAAAGGAGAAAAATGCTCTCCAAATCTGTTTTTTAAAAAGTAAACCTGCCAGTTTTTACCACAATTAAGCAGCAAGGTGGATTAAAAACAACGCCAGTCGTTTGCAGTGTAGAGACAGGCTGTTGCTGAAAGTGTGTCCTTGTTCTGGGAAGCAGAAATACCCTGAGTGGATGGAGGCGTGTTCTGCTGCAGGCTTCATACCATTGCATCAGTCTGAGCTCGCCAGTCAGCTGCGGGAGGACGGGGAGGACTGGACTTTGTGTTCTCTGTGTGCAAGAAAGCTCGAGGAGGATTTGGGGGTCTTATTGTTTTACTGTAGAAACAGCAGATTAGCAAAGAGGTCTCCTTTGTTCTTGCTGTAGCCGTTTCTCAGAGGGACAAACAACTTCTCAGGACCTGTTTATATAGGAAAATTATGCTCGTTGCTGCCAGAAAGATTCCTTATCTGGGCGCTTGTTCTGCAATACTTGTAGCCTTTTTCATTCTAGCGTGAGTTTGTTTTCTCCGTGATACTGTTTGTCTGAGCATTGCACGAGGATTACTTGAGGCAGGCTCCTGGTATGGTTTCGCACGGCTTTGCTCTAAGGGGTCACAACACGCCCATGAAACAGGAAGACGGATTGTTCCAGGGACCCCCAGTACAGCTTTTTTTTCTGTAAAGTCATGGCTGGCGGTGGTCAAGTTGACAACTTGGTTTTAGTGGCAGACTCCCGATTCCAAGTGCTTGTTTCCAAAGCCTGTGGGGTCCCTGACTTGATTGTGCAGCATGAGAATTCCCTCGCCAGTTGGAGGGCTGGGGAGAGAGGAAGGGAACGGTGGTACCTGGGCTCACAGTCGTCTTTTCCACTTCTGGGGTCCGGGCGCTCCAGTGCTTTCACTGCAAGTGGTCCGGTACTGTGGCTCGCTGCCAGGTGCGGCCCTGTACGCGAGGATGCAGGCAAAACCAGCTGCCGTGACTTGACCATTCCCCGTCTAAAATAACCCTCTCGCTTCGTCAGGGGTGCTGGCTACTGGTGGGAGATGTATCTGACTGCAGCCCTTTGCTGTTTGTGTCCAGGTGGCAGGGCCACGGCTAGCGCTGACGCAGGCGGGGATAGGCCTGAGGCTGAGGAGAACAAGGAGGGATTCCTTTCCAAACTTAAGAAAATGTTTAGCTCCTGACACCCCATCCGAGGTAGGAGGCCTCTTGTGTTTTATTGTCGTCTTTCCCCCACACTAAGCAGAATTTGCACTTCTTGGGAGGTAGAAGCAGCAAAAGCACAGCATTGCTTCTCGCTTAGCCTCAGGCCTTCCAGCCACCGGTGTGAAAAGCCCTAGCTGTCCCCTGTGACCTGGAGCAAAAAGCCCAGGGACTAAATTGCATTTTTGCTGCAGCAAAAATGCTGGGTATGTCTTCAGGGAGGTTGCTGGCCTCTCCTGCAGCTCTGCTTCCTTGTCCGCTCAGTGGCTGTACCCGATTCAAAGCACTGAGGGTGTTCCCGTTAGCTGGTAAAGCTGGGATCGGGCAGTTCTGCTGCCACCGCAAAGCCCGGCCTTGCCGGGAGGCGCAGGTGGGCCTGCAGAGCCTCCGGTGCCGGTATGCTCAGGCTGGACTCGCCCCTACCACAGGCTTACAGCACCAGGAGGGAATCGGTCTTTGTCGTAAAGCACAGCAAAGCCCCCGCCAGACAAATGAGTACAGTGTTATAACTCAGGGTGCCGTTTAGTTGGTGTTGGCCTGCTGCGAGGGAGCGCTCCAGACTTGAAATCAGCTACGGTAGACTGTGCTGTCTTGGATTCCAGGGGCTCAGCTTCCTGTCACCGCAGGCTTCAAACTCGTCTGTTCTGCACGGCTGACGAAGCGTGACGGTGGGGAGGTGCTCTGGCGCCTGCGCTCGCAAAGCAGGGTGCAGGGGCTGCTGCGCGCCTTAGGCCGACGCGGTCAGGAAACGCTAAACTTTTCTCTTGCTTCAACCACAGGGAAGCGTTCTACTGGAAACTAAGAGCCAGCCGCAGCAGGTCATCTTTGCAGTCGGGGATGAATCTTTCTGGCAGCGGGCTCTGGAGAGCAAAGGATGTCAGTCAGCAGCACAGCGAGAATCCCAGCTGTAGAGGCTACAAACCACTGAGGCACCAACAAGCATCATGATACAAAACCCACTCACCGTCCTAGGAAACGGTAATGAAGGAAAATGCCAGCTTTGCAGAAATGCGGCGCTCTCTCGAGGTTGCTCCACAGTCCCTGCTGCTGCTGGGAGCTTATTTGGTAAAATTTAAAGTTGAAATATTATTTAGAATCCAAAAAAGTGGAAATGTGAAATAAAAATTGTCCTTCTAGCACAGAGTGGAGCAGTTTGCTGTATGGAGTCCAAGACGGCTGCTGCTCGCTCAGGTGCCCTTCTGAATGCTAGATGTGCTTGGTGAACTTGTCACCGCTTATTTTCTCCTAGGAGACTCGGTGGGTGAGTGAGTTTGAACCCCGTCATCGCGACAGCCCCCCTAGCTGTCCTGCACATCTCTCTGAGTGGGAAGGCTCCCTGCGGCTGGGACTCGTCAGAGCCCAGCTGCCCTGGGGTTCCTTAGTCCTGCTGATTTCCTGCACAAAGAGCAGTGATGGGATCTGCACTTTGCCTGAGGTTTCCCTCCCCCCCAATAACGAAAGTTACAACACAAATGCTGTCGCTTCCGAATGGGTACAAGTTTATCACCAAGCCCTCTGCCAGTTTGGGACAAAGTCTTTTATTACATTAGCGCAACACCCGTAGCATAAATGATTGGTCAAAGAGTCATCGTTCCTACATGTGTGAGAATACAAGTGAAGTGGATCGCTCCTTCCGGGTGGAGTTGAGCTCTTGCAGTGAGTATGTCCATGGTTACCGTAGCCCGCTGTTGTTAGTTATACTGTGCAGGTACCATCAGCCCACATACTACTAATCGACCAGTTAAACAAGGACATGTCGTAGTCTTGCCCTTCTTAATTTGCTGAAATAAAGCACGCGTTGCCTCCTGATTAAACTGTCTGTAAAGTGATTCTGTATCCATGTAAATAAGATTGACTTCATAAAGATATTTAACACGTGCTGTACCTCGCTGCCTTGTCTATTCTTCCGACCTTGTCTGTCACCCCCTTTCCCTCCCCCAGGAACAGGAACGAAGGTCTTCTCTCGGACAAGGAGAGGACGGGGTTAGATGGCTTGAGCATTTCTCTGGTGGCTGCGATTGACTTTAAGCACAGGACGGCTAAATCCCAGAGCTCTTATCCGACCCGTACCTGAAGCATACGGTGGTGTGGGGGAAGGAGCTTTTTAAGTGAGTCTTAAACCCTGAGGTTGGACAGCCTTGCAGAGGTTTTACTCAACTCACGGGGGCAGCGACTGAAATTAGCTCCAGGAGCCCAAAGGCCAGGCCAGAGCTGAGAGCTGTCTGAGGTGAGGAATTAGGTTCAGCTTTCAGGTTACGCAGCGCAGGACGTCACAGCACGGTCCCCTGTGCCAGGGTGGTGCTAACGCAGCGCTCGGTCTCTCCAGGCGTGCTGCTCTGCCCGCTGGCTCACCTGCGGTGCCTGAACCCGCTCCATGGAGAAACCCCAGTGTTTTCTGTTTGCTTAGGAGCCTGCGCCGGTGCTGGCTGTGGGCCGGCCGTGGGTACCTGCAGCGGCTGCAGAGAAGGCACTGCCCTTCGGAACCCAGAATTCAGCCCACCGAGGTGCTGCATGCTCAGAGCTGCCTAGGAAAGAGGGTGATCCTGGGAAAACAAGCCGCCGCCGCCACCCTACAGATGTGAAAACACCCGGAATCACTAAACAAAGACCTCCCTGAAGATAGCGTGCAAAGGTAGCGCTTCTCCCACCTGCCTGCCTGCAGCTGTACAGCTTTTCCTCTTGCTCTAGTCTAAACAGTCTCAACCAAGTTGCAGGAGAGCCCTGCGGCACACGCGTGGACCAAAGCTCTTCCCAGCTCTGGCAGGGTCAGCCTTTCGCCAGGGCGCTAGTGGAAAGGCAGCGCGGCTCAGCACAGCTCACCTCCTTGGCCAGTTCCCGCTACCTGCTGCAGAAGCTCGGGTAGAAGAGGAGGGAGGGAAGGGTCAGAAGGCGTGTGTCACTGTCAGAAGACAGTGGCCTTACTGTCTGCCACCCACTGATGGAAGGCGCGGGCCTTGGGGTTGAGTTTCACGTTCAGGTCCACGTCGCGGTCTGGCTTCAGGGCATAGAAACGGAACATAGTGGCCATTGCCTTGGCGCCAGGGGAGCCACGTTTCTCATACTCCTCCGGTGAGATCTGCAAAAAGAATTGGGGGGGGAAAAAAACCCAGTCTTGTCACAGGGCAGAGGCTGCTGGGGCATTCCCGTTGGACCATGCAGGGAAGCCAAAGAGGGCTGCATTAGAGCAGCCTGCCACATTATTTCCACTGCTGAGGAGGGCTCTGCTGCTCTGCAAGTCATTTCGGTTGGGTTTGTGTAAAGGAAGCAGCAGCCCTGCAGCATGACGGCAAGGCAGCGGAAAGCCTTCACCATAGCATGCTGGTGGGAGGTGGGATGAAGCAGACCACTGTCTCTTGGTTGGTGCTGACCCAGGCGCAGCGTGAGAAAGGGTGGTGGTGGGGAAATCATGCCGCACAGGTGCTCGGGAGCTTGTTCTGGATCTGTCCCAAGCCAGCTGCCCCCACCCCCCCCGGAAGCCGCAGCCACTGGCAGGGCAGTGGCGCTGAGCACCCCGCAGCCCCGCCCGGCAGGGGAA